TACTTATAATTAAAAATCTCCAAAGTGTCAAGCGTAGGGATTGTCAGGTTCTTCTGCAAACCATTCCATCAAATAAGAATTTCCATAGCTTTCATAATCCACTTACAGCTTTATGTTCCATTCTTATAATCAATTCTGCTGCATCTTCGGACTGATTGAAATGGAAATGCCAACGATGGTAAGGATGCGTTTCAAATGATTCAACTATGCTGTCACCATCATCCCAGTAAAGGAAACCTTCAGCCGTATCATGAAAACGACCTGGATGTTAGGAATTTTGGAAATTACCGAGCTCATTGCAGCGAACACACCTATGCGTGTGCCTGGAGCAATCACTAGTTTAAATGCGTTTTTTCTAGTATGCTCCGTCGTAATATTGGGCTTTTGACATGGAATTATAGCTCCACCTGAAGAAGGGGACAATTTTTTTTCTAGTATACTTCGTCGTAATATTGGGCTTTTGACATGGAATTATAGCTCCACCTAAAGAAGGGGACAATTTTTGTGATAGTAAAAGGCGTGTGTTACCTCTGACGAGGACTGGAATCAATGATTCCCATGGAGCAGGGAATGTCTGATTGCCAGCCGGTATGAGTTGTCCGTATTTGTGATCGATGACTGAGTACCAATCATCTTCAGGAAGGTAGAACTGTGCTTCTGTGGCTCCCTGTAAAACCACATTTCCCATAGGAAATATTCATAAATATAATTAGTAAGTATGTGCAAAACTTTTCGAATAAACCTGTTGTACCAAAAAAATGTGCACACTGTTTGATCGTTCATAACTCTCTTACTCTCATGTTTGCTGAGATTGAGGTACCATTCTGTAGAGCGAGGTTCAACTTACATTTACAGTATGGAACAAATCATCAGCCACTCTTCACTACTGTAGGACTACGGTATGAACTTTCAACATACAGCGCAGCGCCACTGTGGAATTGACCTTTTGATAGAAAATCCAAAAATCTGAAAATTTTGTAGTGAGGTTTTCTAGGCTGCTGATTTCACTACTCAACTTTTTTACCAGTTTCTCGAGCTTCCTAAAGGGTGTAATCGCACTTTTGACGAACACTGAAAAAACCGCTGTTATGCGAAACCTCAAATACATATGAAAAAAGCATTATAGTGAAGTGCAAATTTCATATTCAGAATCAGCGGCTTCGTTTAGTCCGTTACAAGAGTTTCTGGCTTATTTTATTTTCCTACTGAGGCAAAAATCGCTTTCAATTTTTCAAAATCCTCCTCGAACTTCCTACCGTGATCCTGCAGTAATGAGGAGCTACTGCTGATTCGCTCTATACTGTAAATCTAAGTTGCACCTCGCTCTACAGAATGGTACCTCAA